TGTTCCTGGGTAGGAAGAATCAACATAGTGAAAATGGCCATATCTCCAAAACTGCTTTAGAGGTTTAATGAAATCCCTACTGAAATTCACAGACCTTTAGCAAACAATTCAAAAATTCATTTAGGACAAGAAAAGACCTAGAATAGCAAAAGCAATTCTAGACAATAAAGGCAAGGGGGGTATCACAATTTGAAACTATACTAGGAAGCTACTGTGATTAAAAACATCATGGTCCTGGCAAAGACACAGACCTGATGACCAGTGGAACAGATTAGAAGATGCAGGAACAACTCCAGGCACACTCAGCCTCCTCATCTTTGACAAAGGAGCCAAACACCTTCATGAGAGGAAAGAGAGCCTTTTTAAGAAATGGTGCTGGAAAAACTGGGTTTCACCTTGCCAAAGATTAAAACGAGACCTATATCTCTCACCATGCACTAAACTAAAATCAAAATGGATAAAGATCTAAATATTACAACAGAAACACTAAACCAGGTGGAAGAGAGGTTAGGTAGAACTCTTGAAGACATTGGTGTAGAAAAAGATTTTATGAACGAAACCTAAGTTGGCCATGAACTAGCACAAACAATGAAAATGTGGGACATCTTATTAAAAAGTTTCTGCACAGCAAGAGAAATTACCAACAGTGTGAAGAGACGACCCACAATTTGGAAAAAAATTTCACTAGCTATTCCTCAGACAAAGGTCTACTATCTAGAATATATAAAGAACTTCAAACAATCAGACTTCCCAAATTTAAACACCCAATCCAAGAATGGGCATCTCAAATGAACAGATGTTTCTCAAACAAAGAACTGCAAATAGCAAATAAACACATGAAAAAGTGTTCAACATCACTGGTCATTTGAGAGATGCAAATGAAAACAACACTGAGATTCCACCTCACCCCACAAAGAATGGCTGCTATTATGAAATCAATCAATAACAAATGATGGTAGGACTGTGGGAAAAGAGGAACCCAGCTCCACTGCTGGTAGGAGAGCAGACTGGTGCAACCACTGTGGAAATCACTATGGAGACACCTCAAGAGCTAAAATTGAAAGTCCAATTTGACCCAGCTATTCCCCTGCTGGCTATCTTCCGCAAAGAATTAAAACAATCATACAACAGTGATATATGTGCATCCATATTCATAGCAGCACAAATCATGTTAGCTAAAATTTGGAAGCAGCCCAAATACCCATCAACAGGATACTGGATAAAGAAAATGTGTTTGTTTGTTTTTTTTTAACAAAATGGAGTACTACTCATCCATAATGAATGAGAAACTAAGAAACATTTGTAGCTAACTGGATGCACATTGACGAGATAATCTTAAGTGAAATAAATAGGACACCCATGTGTAAATACAAAATAGCTTTACTGGGAGAAACTGAAAGTGTAAATAAGGACCAAAAGTTATAATAGATAATATGAAATAGGAAGAAAAGGTGCAAAAGGGAACAGGAATTTGGAGGGGTAGGGGAAAAGAAAGAAGGGAATGGAATTAAAATGAGAAAAAGAAAAAAGGGAAACAGATCGTTGTAGATAGGGGTGAAGGGGTTGAAGGGTGGGCATGGGAATGGGGCAAAAATAAGAACCAAGATGGATTATGTAAAGGTGCAATTTTCCAATGATGAATGTCATCATATTGTATACCTTAAAGTACCAATAAATTTAATTTTAAAAACTATAGAACAGTCCACTGGAAGACAAAAATGAATATAATTCTTAAAGACACAGGCATAAACAAAATGTTATGAACAGGGCTCTAACTGCATAAGAAATAATACCAAGAATCATCAAATGTATTTGCATTAAATTCAAAAACAAGCTACACAGCAAAGGATTCCAACAACAGAGTGAAGAAACCACGTACAGAATGAAAAAAAAAAAAGAATTTTGCAACCAGCTACTCCTCAGACAAGGACTAATACCTAGAATGCATAAAGAACAGAAAAAAATCAGAACCCCCCAAATTTAAAGACCCACTCAAAAATGGGCATCTATCTGCATAGACACTTCTCAAACAGAGAAGCACAACTGGCCAATAAATATATAGAAAAATTGTTCAACATCACCCTTCATTTGGGCAATGCAAATTAAACCAACACTGATAATCCATCTCATTCAATTAGAAATCCCATTTGACCCAGCTATTTCCCTTCTAGGTATCTTCCGGATAGAGTTAAATACCTGGCCTAAGACTTAGCTCAGTGGTAGTGCACCTACCTCATAATCACAAGGTTCTGAGTTCAATCTCCAGTACCAAAAAAAGAATTGAAGACCTCATATTATAGTGATACCTGCATACTCATGGGTCTAGCAGCACAATTCATAATAGCTGAATCTTGGCAGCACCCTCTGTGCCCATTAACAGATGAATGGGTAAAGAATATAAGAATATATGGTAATTGCCAGTCATAGTGGCACATGCTCGTAATCCCAGCACTCAGGAAGCTGAGTTCAAGGCCAGCCTGTGCTACACAGTGAGTTTAAGGTTAGTCTAAACTACAAAAAACAAAACAAAACAAAACAAAACAAAACAAAAAATAACATGGTATTTATATATAATTGAGTAGTACTCTGCTGTAAAGAATAAACATGATTCATTTTTAGGAAAATGGATGCACCTTAAGACCATAATGTTAAATGAAATAAATCAGACACACAAGCTTAAATATTGCAGTTTCTCTTATGAGAAACTCAATATATAAAATAAAGTGCAAAATAAAACATAATGGGAAGTAGTGAGAGTTTTGACATATGGTAAGAGAACCAAGGTATGGATGCAAAAAAGTGAGATTAAAAAAGAGATGGGGGAATTTGAAGTACATTCACCAAGTCCTTACTAGGAATGTGATCATTAGGTACAAAAACTTTAGATAGATAGATAGATAGATGATAGATAGATAGATAGATAGATAGATAGATAGATAGATAGATTAGATAGATAGATAGATAGATAGATAGATAGATAGATAGATAGGAATGTGATCATTAGGTACAGAAACTTTAGATAGATAGGTGATAGATAGATGATAGATAGATAGATAGATAGATAGATAGATAGATAGAGAGATAGATAGGCAGACAGACAGATAGAAGATAGGTAGATTGATTGATTTAGAAGTGGTCCAAGACATGCAGGGAGGTGGAAGGAGGGGAGGGGAAATGGTTTAAAAAAGGAATTAAGAAACATCATGTACATGCACCAGCTTCCTATGATGTCAACCATTATGTATTACAAATGTGTACCAATAAAAATATATATAAATAAGAGACTTTTACAAAAAGTTGAATCCCACTGTGTACCTCTCCAATTCTCCATTTTCATGAGGTTTAGCCACTGACCTAAATAACTTACATATCTCATATATATCTTCTTGCATTTAACTATATATATATATATATATATATATATATCCCACGTGTCTTCAAACGCACATGTGTAATCTATTAGAGTGATTGTTTTGCATATTTGAAAACTTCATGTGCAAAGTTCAAAAGATTTGTATTCTTACATCACTAGTGACACCTTTATAATTTACAAATCCATAACCTGATTTTAGCTTATTCTTATATATTATGTCCCCCAAAAAGGTATGTTGCAGTAATAACTAGAATAACTTATTAAGGCTTTATATTGAAATAGAAAATGTGACTGCAACTAAGCTGAGATGTACAAGAGTACAGTGGGCCCTTAATGTGAATGATGTCCTCATATAAATAAGAGAAAGAGACACAAGGTAAAACACTATGTGAAAACGAAGAGATTGGAATAATGTATTTTCAAGCCAAGGGATAATAAATATTGATGGCAACCACCAGAAACTAGGAGACAGAAACAGACTCTATCTCAGTCTCCAGAAGGAATCAACTCTGACACCTTTATTTCAGACTTATGGCCTCCACAATGGTGAGAACGGATATTTATTGTTTTAAACCAGAATTTTTGGTAATATCATATAGCAGCACTAGAAAATGAACACATTGTTCCCAGAGCTGTGTTTCAAGAAGGTAAAAATTCATCTATCCACCATTCCAGACCTTCCTGTCTTGTTTGGTTTAATAATATTTTACTAATCAGTTTTTTGTTTGTTATTGTGACAAAATATCTGAGATAGCCCAACCCAAATGAGCAAAGATTTATTTTGATATGATGGTATCAGAGATTTCAGTCCATGGTTGGTCTGCTTTTTCTTTGGGACTGTGTTGAGACAGTATGCTATGGCATGGGCATATGAATGAAGGGAACTGTTTACATCATGGAGTCTGGGAAGCAAAAACAGGACGGTGCCAGGGTCCTGATATCCCCTTCAAGGGCACATTCTCAATGACCTAATATCCCTTCACAAGGCCTCACTTTCTAAAGATTTCACCACCGCCCAGTACACTCAGGTTAGGGATGAGGCCTTCAATACATGGACCTTTAGAGAACTTTCAGGGCCTACAACCTAACACCTAAAAAGTCAGTGAAGTAGGACTGGTACGGCTCTACGTGAAGTTCAGTGTCTCCCTCCATTGTGCTAAAGAAGTGCTTTTCTAAGTTTTTTGTGTACAGAAGCACACAGAGAACTTGTAAAACCCTGAATGCTTGTCTGCCTTAAGAATCTGATTCTGCACGTCTGACATGGAGACTGAGAAATTATTCCAAACAAGTTTTGGCTTCTGTTAATGCTACTGATCCACAGTGGCATATTGGTAACATTTGGTCTCCTGACAAACTAGGTCATTCATAGACTTTAAATAAAATTAAGTAGGTTCTAGACTCCATCTCTTTCATTACACAAGCTGTTTACAACTTTATATTTTAAATTATTTTGGATAATAAAATAATTTAAACATGTTGGTCAAACACAGGAAGGAAACGTACTTTGAGCCCAAACAGAAGTTAGAGATACAAAGATAGCTTTGTGTCAGTGTTATTAACATACAAAATTCTGCAGGTTATGCATTTCAAACCAGATTTTATTTTTATATGAACAAAGGCACTCAAATATTTCTTTAAGAAGACAATGTAACTTCAGATGTCAGGTGAAGTCACTTCTATGTTATTAACTTTGAAACAAAACCAGGTTCCCGGGATACTGAAAAGTACACAACTCATGAGATACAAATTCACTTTTTCCTCTTTCCATCCATTTCTTTCTATGCTTTCCAACTGTAGGATGAAATAACAGACAATTAATATTTGTACACCATTAACACATACTAATGATTTTTAAAATCTGAGCCAATCCTATGAACATCTGCATCTCAGTAAGGTCAAACAACAACAACAAAAAACTTTTCTTCTTATAACACAGAATCTTTGATGACAGAGTGTTCAGTAATTTAATGGCTTTAATAATGCAATCAAGGGGCCAGGGATTTTGCTCAGTGGTTCCGCCACCTACCTCACAAGCACAAGGACCCAGGTACCAAAAGCAAAACAAACAAAAAATGTACTCAAAGCAATCTTGCTGCTTTTTTGATGACCACTATAAATGCCTGGTTGCTTTTCTTTGAGAAACTACCCTGTGATTTAAATGATTTTTTCTGGTTGTGCTTGTTTTATTTACATAAACTATAGATATTTCCTCAAACTCCCAGGTCTTTCGTTTTTGTATATGCAAAATGAGAATGAAGTTATTAGATGTCCACAGATTTTAAAAATTCAGAAAGAAATAAGTACAGGTGTACAGATTAACTTCTAATTTAGTAATAAACAATAATCTTACTGTTCTTTTGTTTGAATGTTCTATGAAATGTAAAATGAATGAACATTTCTGGATTGGTCATGAAGTGTCTAACTTGAGCTCCCTAATGCTTTCCTACTCTGTCAACAGTCAGCCTTCTCAAAGGCATTGTTTTTAAAAGAGACTATGTTTGTGTGGTCATGTGATGAAGACCCACTTAGTATACGGCCCACCGGCTTTAGCTGCTGCTTCTGGGGATCTTTCTCCTTTGTTCTGCACTATAAAAACTGTTAAATGTCCTGTTTGTAGTAATTTTACAGCTACAAAATAAAGGCCTTTAGGCAAAGATACTTTAGAATGAAGTACAAGTCAGAATATGTTGGTTGCCTTCTCTTTATCTAATACACAAGTACACTGTTAACATAATAACTTTGAAAAGGGAATTTTAGCAATGTGTTATTTATTCCACAGAAAAAAATTGAAAAAATAAAGTTATCAGTACCAGCAGTATGTGAGGAAAGGTTAGCAAATACTAAAGGATATAAACCAGTACCTGGATTCCTAAGAGATGTTGACGTGTTACTTTTGGTATCCTTCAGGTTCTTCATTTTTGTTCTCTTTTTCTTCTTCCTCCTTGCATTCACCTTGTATCTCTTCATCAAAAGATTGATAGTAATGAAACAATGCTTGTTTAGCAAGTAATGACAGAGATTTGGGGGCCATGATGTCATGGGAGGAAGATTTCAATTTAAACACAGTTTCAGCATCCTGTAACTTACGTTCTGAAAAAATAGTAAAGTAGAATCATGTAAGAACAAAATAACAAAGAATATTGGGTCTCATTCCTACTGGTTAATACAATACTTCCATCCATGGTGCTCACATTTCTTCTGCTCAACAGTTATGGTGACATTTCCCATCTTTCTCATAGCCCGTGTTGCTGATTATTTCTGAGTCATGGGACAAAAAGGGATCAGAATCATCTGAATCTGATCCCATATGCTAGGATTTTTTTTTGTCAGAACTTCCTTGAAAAAAGAATTTGACTTAAAGACAATCTATGATACAGTTCATTTGCTGCTCAAGCCCTGAAAATGTAAGTTTTGCACTTTTCAAGTAATCTAGTACTGGTACAACATTTTCTTGATCCAACCTACCAATAATTTTTTTAAGTTTTTAAAGCTGTCAACCAAAAGTGAGGAATGCAACTGTTTACCTTTTGCCCTGAGCTTCTCCTTTCATTTCCTCTAAAGCAGCTTCCTGAACATTTGCTAAACATTAATTCACCTTCTGTCTGTTCCTACAGTACACTGAATACCTTCCATCTTTCATCAAACACAAAGTTATAGAAGGTAACGTTCTTTGTCTCATGATTGTAAGGTCTCTAGAGACCTTGGCTTTTGGAGGGCACAGTGGGCCATAAGATTTTTGACAACACTGACTTTCTACTTAAAATTAGTCAAACTCTGGGCTTGGCCTTGCAAGGGAGCCAGCTGCAGCCAATAAGGCCACAAGGGTGAAAGTTCTGCTACAACTCCCAGCCTTGACCCATGTGTTAGATACCCAGCCTCCCTGGACATGAGCTATCCAGCTGGCACCTCATCCCCTTGGGCCATGGCTTCCACTGTCATTTCCTCTGCCTTCCGGGACGCTGCCCGAGCCACGGGTCCCTCTGCCTCCCACAACAGGGCTCCTCTGCTGGGTATTTATCGTCCCAGTTCTCGGCTCCCACTGCCGGGTCTTCCTGCACCCTGTGCACAGGTTCCTCTCCCAGAACTTGAGGTTCCCCCCGGGGTGGTGCCTTACTACCGCCGCCATTTTAGGATAGGGTCATTTTAATCGACACTGGACGATACAAGGGACTGGGCTAGATCACAGAAGGGCGACCACAAACCCCAGGAATAACTCACGGGTACCTGCTGCTTCTCCCCGCTCCTCACGGTCTTCTTCCTCGCCTTCCTTTTCCTCTTCATCCTTCGCATTTACCAGTTGTTCATCCTGGTCCCAGTCGAAGGTGGGTTGGGGCACCTCTTGCTCATTCGCCTTTTCCTCAAAGTTTCGGACAATCGTACGAAAAGCTAGAAGTACCATTGCTCCCATCATCACAACCAACCATTCCACGGGCACCATGTCATCAAGGAGGGGCTTCGGGTCCGGGCTTGCTTCTTCATCAGCTTGGCTCTGTCCTCCTGGAGCCGGGTCTTGCTCACCGGTAGCAGACATGGCTGAAGCAACGCGCAGTGAGGCCCTCAACAGCAGCAGAGACCGCGCAGTCGTTACCTCGTTACCGACGCTGGCGAAAATGGCGCCACCGCCGCCGCCGCCTGCTGTCCTGACGTTGGTTGCAGCGGGGCCTGCTGGGAACGTTGGGGTCACAGAAGCTACTGGAAGCGAGGACTGCTTGGAGCATTGAGAGCAGAGGTTGCCTAGGAAACAAATGACTGAGAGAGCACAAGCGGAAAACTGGCTACAGCAAGGACAAATCCACGACTGTGCCCTGAGCCCGTTGATAGAGAAAGGCAGGATTGGTTTGGATGTGCGGGTGGTGGATGAGGTGACAAATATTCAGATGAGCTGTTGATGGACAAGGTGGAAATGTTTGGATATGCTGATGATGAGAAAGGAGCCTGGAAGGGTCAATAAAGGGTAAGCTCCCCTCCCCGCTTCCTGAATCGCTTTGAGTTCATTTGCTAGATAGTGAATTTTAATAGGTAAGCCCTGTGTCCGGTGAATGAGCAAGATCCTGTTTCCCTTAAGGAGTTGGGTCCCTGGGCTACCCTAAAAGCTTACACAGCCCTGTTCTTTTCATGTTGACATTGCTGGCAAAAACTGATGTTTTGTCTTCCAATAGGCTGGTGCCCTAGCAAATACGAAACGTGATTTATTTCGCAGGGTCCAACTGAAGACACTTTCTACCAGTCTGTTCACAGTCATTTGTTCAAAGAGCATATAAATTAATATCAGCAATGTGTAGAACAGAATCTGAGAGAGACAAAGGGAGAATTTAGACACTATAACATAATTAAATCCACTTTAAAAAACATGTTAAAAATGGATGTTGTCAGAATGGAGAGTTGAGATGTTAAAAACAGTACCTGGAAGGTGTTTAATGAGTGCTGTATAATTCACTTCCAGCCTAAGAAAAGTTAAAGGAGGGAAAGGTATTACTTTTAGTGGTCCAGGCCTAAATATCACAAATAGTAAAAGAGAATACTTCCTGGAATGACTTTTCAGTCAGCAATCCAAAATTCTTTGTTGTATTCACTTCCACTTAGCAAAGCTTTTGGGTTTAAATAATTCTTACAAATGTGAAGAAATTAAAAGCTATTTTATACTTACTGTATCATTATTACTGTGCATAGAAACCCCAAGAGAATACTGACAGTGTAAATCATATTTTCCCTATCTACATTATATAAAAGTTCTGTTTGTCTTATTGATAAGCAAACTCCTTTCTTTGACTGCTGTTCCACTCCTTTGAGGAACTGGAGTGGCCAAGTGGAAGTTGTAGGTTCACATTTGGTAGAACACTACCTGTGTTGTCTTCTGAAAAGTCATTCTTGGGGCCCAGAATATCTAATCTAGTTCAGTAGAAAAGTTCAGGGACATGAAGTATTCATTTTACAAGTGTGCTGCAGAGAATGGTGGTGAAAGGAGCTATTGTAGACACTCTCCAAATGAAGGATAGGCCCTATTCCATCTATAATTTCTTTCAGATTTCCATACTGTTGACATACACATACTAAGAAAGATGATTTAATTACATAATTATGCCTTCAGAGAAGAAAAGGGTTGGTTCTGAAATTTGGGATGTGAAAAAAGGCTTGACAGAGTACAGAAAGAAAAGTGGCTTTGGCTTTTTGTTCTAGGGAGGGAGTAGAGCTATGATGATTATTCTGATAGCACAAGATAGGCTTTGAACTTTCCACTGGTGCTTAAAATAAATTACCTGAGATTTCTTGGCAGCTTTCCCAGATATGAGGTGGAGGGGAAGAGGGCGCACTGAGGTTTAAAAAGCATTCATCAAGACAGTGTCAAACAATGGATTCAGAATCCTTTCTGTACCTGCCAATTTGATTTTTCCTTCTTTATTCCAGATTTGTGTACTCTAGATTTGGGGAATATAAAATCAAATACCAGTTTTTTGGTCCAGTGCACATACTAGATATCGGAGGAAAGTGTCACAACTCTAGATTTTGTTCCTGAACCGATTCATTAATTGAGCCATTCCATCTGGCTGATAGAATGAAGTTCAAAACAAAGCTATAATTGTCCCCAGAGACTCTTGTGATACAAACTTGGTCCGCAGCTTCGCACTTTCGGGAGATGGTGGAAACTTGAAGAGGTAGTTCTGGTGGGAGGTTTTCAGGTTCTTGGAGACATGCCCTTGAAGGAGATTTTGGGACCTGATCTCTCACTTTCTTAATGTGAGTAGAGCAATTTTGCTGCATCAGGAGTTTACACCATAATGTTCTGCCATAGTCCCAAGGTGAGAGGGTCAACCAATTGCAGACAAAATCCTCTAAACTTGAGCCAAAATAAATCTTTTTTACTTTATAAGTTTATTATATCTATTTTTTTATGATAACTGAAAACTAACACAGAAAACTGCTACAAAGGTTGGAGTCTTTGCCATTACTGTATACATATGTGATGAGGTGGAAGATTCTTTGGAATTGGTTTATGGGAAAAACTTGGAGAATTTTGGAGTAATTAAAAAAGCCTAGAATTCTATAAATGTTGCTTAATGTGAGATTTGATTGGGGGGGGGATTCAGAAGTCCAGAATACTGACAGAAAAGTAAATAAATAAGGTGATACTGAGGTTTCAGGTGGAAATGAGGATTTTTGGAAATTGGTCTAAAGGCCATCATTGATACACTGTGTTAAAGGATTAGTCTACATGGTGTCCATGCCCTGAGATTTTCTGAGAGGTAAAGCTTAAAGTTGATGGGTTAGTTTTCTTGGCGAAGGAGATTTCAAGGTAGCAAAGAATTCTGCTAGTGACATGGGTATTACTGGATGCTTTTAGCCAATTTTACAATAAGAATCAGGAATTAAAAGAAGCAGTGCAGAAATATTTGAAAAATTGAGTTTGACCAGAAAAGGACCATGTGTAAAGAAAGGAATGGCCACAGAGGGACTTTTGCATCAGGACAATAGGAAAGACACCTTGAGAGTATCTTAGGAATCTGCAAGGCCATACCCATATCAACATAAGCTCTGAAGTGTAAATAAAAATACAAAATTATTTTCAAAGACTTTCCAGGGCATAATCTTTTGAGACAGAGTCCTAAATTGCCCTATATGTCCAAAAGTGCCTACTAGATATTTGCTTGCTGGTGTTCAGTCAATATGGCACTAAGAGGCCAATGCAGCTGTGATTCAAGCATTCTCAGGTACATCTCACACTATCAGAAGACTATGGTATCATCTATGCAGTGCTAGTTTTGGAGGCATGTATAATGCAAAAGGTATGGGGTTGTGGAATTCTCCACTAACCTTTCAAAGAAAGCCTGAGAAGCCAGACATTGTGTCACAAGGTCAGAAGCTCAGCAAGTGGTCCCTAACAGGGTTATGCATGCAGCTATGAAAGTGAAGCCAGAGCTATACTGGGCAACCAATAAGGTAGAAATGCAAGAAACATAGAATGTCACCTAAGAAAGCCACTGATAGTGAGCAAACCCATCCCTAGGGAGAAGCCTTGTGGGCTGCAACCAGCAGTGCAATAGAGGCAGGGCTGCCCAAGCCCTTTGGAATAACATCGTGACACCACTTGTCCCAGATGCCAGACATAGAGCTTTAGAATTTAATGTTTGCCCTCCTGGGTTTTCATCTTCTTTGATCCAGTTCCTTTCTATTATTCTATTCCTTGCTTTTGGAATGTTTATTCTATGTCTGTACCACCATTGCATCACTGAATTGTAAGACCAGATTTTCATTTTTACAGAGTTTCATATTTAAGTTAGCTTTGAGTCTCAGAGGAGACTCTGTGCAATACTGAAACAATTAAGATCTTGGAACTGTGTATATAGAATTAATATATTTTGTATTGTGAGATGGACTTGAATCTTTTCAGGCCAGGGACAGAATGCTGTAGCAACCATAATGCATTGTTAATGTTCCTCTGAGGACCATGTGTTGACTTGTTCTCTGGTTAGGCACTGTTGGAAGATGGTGGAATCTTTAAGATGTTGGAGCCTAGTGGGAGATTTAAGACCACTGGAGACATACCCTTGAAGGGGATATTGGAACACCAGCCCCTTTCTTTTCTCTCTTTTGCTTCCCAACCCTAAGGTAAGTGGGTTTTCCCTTCCAAATTCTTTCACTATGATGTACTCCCACAGGCCCAAAGCAGTGAGACCAACCAGTTATGTACTGAAACTTTTATAATTATCAGCCACAACAAAATATTTATCTTCATCAGTTAATTATCTCACATAGAAGGATGTCTTTTATATATTAGTAGTTGCCTTCATGAATTTGGACAGCTAAGCTATTAGCTATTACCAGGGAAAATACAACATACATTTTCCCTAGAAGTATTCCTTAGAATGGCAGCATTCAAATTAAGCTATTGTGCTGGCTGGCCTTCACTATTGGTCTTCAGTGTTGAAATTAGGGATTATTGATTGCTGATGCCCAGTGATATCATTCATTTTTATTTTGGCTGACCCATCAGTAGCCCAAGGCCAAACAACTTTGGAGACTTCTTGCAAGCATGCTCCCCAGATAGTTAAAAGACTTCCTTTCTGAGTAAGCAAGAGTAGTCCCCAGGTCCTATAGGTTTGCCAATTTTTGTATAAGGTGGACACATTTTTGGTACCAGATTTGCTTCTCTCTCACTATTTCAATTTCATAATATAAAATGACTGGTGTCCCCCTCCAACTTTCCTGCTAGCATCTCAGGGAAACAAATATAAGGTAAGGATTTCTTGATGAAATGTTACCTGGCAGTACTGAATAAGAGTCTCATTCTCCACAGCAGCCCATTAGTACGCCAGTAGCTGTTTACCAATTGGAGTGTTACAAATGGCTGGATCGGGGAGGCAGTGAGTCCAGAATATCAAGGGATGCTTACAGGTGGATGTTTTTTGTCTTTGATTAAAGGATTAAATCAGTTCAGTCATCAGTAGCAAATATCTATAATTCCAAGGGACTCCTGGGGTTTTACAGGCCCACTGTTGTTTCCCAACTCTCCTTCAACAACTTAAATTTGCTGGATTTTCTGCTGAAAACGTATATAGGGTATAACAAAATGCCTAGATGAGGCACACACTGATTCCAATATCCAAACAGTCAGATTAAGCATGGGGCTTCTTTTTAGAAAGTAGTGATCCACATACTGAGTAAGTAACTCCCTCTGCTATATTGGAGATTGAATTTTGAATCTCAGATTATATAACTCTCAAGAATTTGTCCTGAAT